TTTTGTCTTAAATTTTCAATCATGAAAATTTCTAGATATTCTTTTGTTTCTGATTTTGGCCTAATTGAATGATCAGAGAACATAGCTCTGTATGATATCAGTTTATTATATTTGTGGCAACTAGTTTTATGGTCTAGTATATGGTCAGTTTTTATAAATATCTCAAGTATTCTAAAAGAATGAATATTCTTTCATTGTTAGTTACAGCATTCTGTGTCAGTACTCTTACTGTTTAAATCTTTTTGGGCTTTACTGAATTTCTTGTGCTTATTCTAATATCCCACTAAAATTGCAGTTTTATGATTTCTCCTTGTCATTCTGTCAGATTTTTGTTTCTTTTGAGGCCTGATTATGAAACATTTAACACTTATATAATTTTTGGTGGATTGCACTTTCATCAACATGAACTATAATGCTTTTTAAAATTAGTTGTAACTATGTTAGGTTTTCTTTGCTGTGTGTGTGTATGCATATAGCATGACTTTTTTCATCCTTTTACTTTCAACATTTCTGTATTATGTCTTATATATTTCTTTTATAGACAGCATATAGTTAGATTTTTTTTCTTGTGTCTTAAAAATCTGGTTAATCTTTCCCTTTCACTAGAGTTTCTAATCCATTTACATTTTTTAAATGACATTTGATGTATTTAATATTTTGTGTTTCATTTTATATTGTCTTGATTATGCTTTTTTTGTTTCCTCTCATTTATTGACTTCTTGTTGGGTCGTTTGTTTGATTTTTTGAGAAAGAATCTTGCTCTATTGCCTAGGCTGGAGTGCAGTGGCTCAATCTTGGCTCACTGCAATCTCTACCTCCCAGATTCCAGTGATTCTCCCACTTCAGCCTTCTGAGTAGCTGAGATTACTGGCAACTTCCACCACGCCCAGCTAAATTTTTTGTATTTTTTTTTTTTTTNCCCAGGCTGGAGTGCAATGGCGCGATCTCGGCTCACCGCAACCTCCGCCTCCTGGGTTCAGGCAATTCTCCTGCCTTAGCCTCCTGAGTAGCCTGGATTACAGGCAGGAGCCACCATGCCCAGCTAATTTTTTGTATTTTTTAGTAGAGACGGGGTTTCACCATGTTGACCAGGATGGTCTCGATCTCTTGATCTCATGATCCACCCGCCTCGGCCTCCGAAAGTGCTGGGATTACAGGAGTGAGCCACCGCGCCCGGCCATGTATTTTTAGTAGAGACAGATTACACCATGTTGGCCAGACTGATCTCAAACTCCTGGCCTCAAGGGACCTACCAGACTCAGCCTCCCAAAGTGCTGGGATTACAGGTGTGAGAGCCACCATGCCTAGTCAGTTTTGTGTATATTTCTAAACAATATTTTGTTTAGCTTCACAGATTTTCACCTGCACTTCATAGTACTTCTATGACTTGATTTTTTGTGTATGCTTGTAAGAGTCATTTATGTTGATATGTGTAGCTATAGTCTGTAATGCTGTAGCAGTCTATTAGAAAATATAATTATGTATTCATTCTCTTCTCAAAGGAAGTTTGGGTTGTTTGTGGTTTCAGGCTATTGCAGATAAAGGTATTTTGAATGTTTCACTCTGTAGAAGAATTTCACTAAGTTATATACCTAAGGGTGGCATTTTTGGGTTAGAGGTTATGCACGTGTTCAGTTTTACTTGGCTAAATTGTTTTCCAGCGTGGTTCTAGCAATATATATTCCCTCCAGCAATGCAGAAATATATGTTGCTCCATGTTCTTTCTAACACTTGATATTGTGTGTGTTGCTGGAGTTGATGTATAAGAAGTAATGTGATGGAAAGTTGAAGTGGTGGTTATGAAGAAGGATCATTAAAATGGAGGTTCTTTCTTTCTTCTTTTTTTTTTTAATTTGGTGTGGCAGGACATGCCTAAAATGGAGATTTAGGGGAACATGCCATAATAGTAATAAAAGACATAAGGTTTAACTGCAAGAGTGCATGTGTAGTAAGTAGTATTCTCAAGAATTAGAAGAGTTGATTAAGGAAGGAAAAAATAAAACAGGTTATTTGGAGAATCAAATACACAGGCATTGAAATCACTAAAGACTGTGACAAAAAGTGGTGTTTAAAATACTGAAAGTGAGTCAGGAGCTAAAAGCATCAAGATATAAGGGCCAGTCTTCTGGGGATTAGTATATGACTGCAGTGATTAAGGTTAGTAGGTGGTATAGTCTGACAAAGATACATATGTTATTATACATCTGTAAGAACATTAGCTGTATGTTCTTATATAGAAGTTAATTTATCACCTACAATAAATGCCCTAGGTCACTAGTTCTTAATTTTCTGGTTGAAAAGGGATGACCTCTAGAAAACAGAAAGAATTGTTTCATAACACTATTGCCAGGAATCAGGAAGAGGTTCCAGAGTTCTACATTTTCTAGGCCAAGATTCATACCTCTCCCTACATATCACAAGAGCCACAGCTTCAAGATTACTCTCTGCCTTCAGACCATTGGGATATAAGAACATATAGCTTATGTTCTTATCGATGTATAGATGTATAAGAACAAAAGCTATATGTTCTTATAGACATAAGGCAGTTTTGTTGATTGACCTCATGTTTCAGAGGTCATAGTGGAAGAATTTTAGGAGATGGAACAGACATGGCAAATGAGGTAAGAAGAGAGAATATAAAGAGCTATGTGTGTGGTGATTAGTGTCTAAGGCATGAATGAAGGCTTCTGAGGGCTGGGCCTATTCAAGTGGTGGACACAAACTGGGGAAAATAATTTAATGAGGTTAATCCCAAGATTATAAATATATTGTCTTATATTTCCTCGTAAAAGTTTTAAACTTTTTGCCTTTTGCATTTAAAGTTCTTTCTTTGTCTAGACTTATTTTCTGCATAATGGTACAAGGTAGGAATCTGCTTTTTTTTTTTCTCTAGGAAGATCAGTTGTCTCAATTCATTTATTAAACAGTCCATCCTTTCAGAAGTGATCTGCAGTGTCAGCTTTGTCACAGATCAGATTTTCAAATTTGCATAGGACATATATTGTGTTCTTTATTCTATTTCATTAGACTATCCATATGCCAAAATCAAATTTTCTTAATGATTTTAGTTTTTTAGTAACTGCAGATGTCTGGTAGAACACATTCATCTTCCTGCCCCCAACATCCCACCTTGTTCTTCTTCAAGAATATCTTGGCTCTTCTTGCCTTTCTGCTTTTCCTCCATTAAATTTTAAAAATCATTAGTCAAAGTTCCAGGAAAACCCGAGTGGGATTTTGGTTAGAATTGCATTGATCCTATAGAACAATTTGAGGGAAAACTGACATCTCTACATTACTGAGTCTTTTTCATGTTTGTCTTTTTCCAAAATGTGCCACTGTGTTATTGGCAGTTTTTGTGGGAATGTAAGAGATGTCAGTGTGTGCCTGCTTGTCAAGTTGAGAATAATTTTTAAATTGTATTTCTAAAAAATAGGTACTTGAAAATTCAGTCAGTGCTTTGTATTTATGCATACCTAAAAATTCAGCTATAAAAAGTGTCTGTTTTTAAAATAAACGAGCATTTTCCTTATGACAATGATTTTGGATTCAGGGATTTAGATCAAAGTTCTTTTGTGCCCAGCTCAGAAGCAGTATAGCTAAGTAGTTAACCAAGCTTACGTGGGTGAATTTGCTTATATGCATGGGCAGCCATGAGAGGCAGTAAACAAAGCAGATACGAACTGGAGCTTGTGTCTCTGGAGCCGTGCTTTCTGTGTTGAAATTCTTGTCCTGCCACTTATTACAAAATACTTCTGGTTGCTCAAGTTTTTTCTTTTTTCCGTAAGATGGAGTGAGTAATAATACTTATTTCTTTGAGTGATTGTGAAGGATAAATGGGTTAATATACATAAAGCATTTGGTCACTAATCATCATCCAGTATAGAAGGAATATTGTTGAGGTAGGTGAGATCATGACTTCAACAGTTGTGTATGTTCAGCTTTCTTTTCAACATCCCCTCTACTTTTTCCTCATTTTTAGTTAGTATGTTTGTCAACTGAATATTAGAGCATAGTTTAATAGTGAAGAGTAAAGGCTTTGGAGTGTGGTTAACCTGGACTAAAATCCCAGCCTTATCCTTTCTTAGTACAGTATGTGATTTAAAGCAAGTTAATCTCTAGCCTTCAGTTTTCTTACCTGTGTACTAGAGATAATAATATTTAATATTATAGTTTATAGTTGTTGTTAGAGTTATCATATGATTAGCATAGTTTCTTGCACATTTCAAATTTTATTTTTTGTCATTATTGTCATTTGTATTCTTATCTGTAAAATTGGGATGATACAATCTGCTTGGTAATGCTGTTGGAGGACTAAATCAAATAATGTATGTCAAGTGCATAGTATGATGACTGGAACAGAGTATGTGTCCAATAAATGGTACTGTAAATACATTTTTATTTAGCTTTTCATTTCTATTTTACATACTGTATACTAGTATAGATTGATGATTGAAAATAGCATTTCAACTTTATATGCTATAAGTAAAAGTAGCTTTTTACTTCTATATGGCCTAAGACTTTTCCCCTTTGTATCAGTGGTGATTGATTAGAAACAATAGTCTTCTAAGCCTGATATACTTATTTTGTCATTACTTTCTATTCTTAGCTCACTCTTATTTACTATGAGTCAGTTGCTTTTTTCCTTTATTTTCATCATATCTGATATTCTATGATATATATCTTTAGTTTTTAATGGTAGAATCTTTTAGTTTTTCTCTTTACGTTTTATATTAACATTTATTTATTCTTTGCTGGCAGTCATGCAAGAAACTAAAGCAAACCTCTGTTAGCAGGAAAGGTTCATTAAACTTCAGGCTCTTAACCTTAAGGTTGTATATGATCATTTTATAGAAGTGTTGTCTAAATCAAATGGTTCTTTTTAAATATATTATTTTTAAACAACTTTTGTTTTATTGTTTTTAGAAGAAAATAGTTGATAGCCAAAAAACAAGAAATGGTCATTGATCAATCTATCTCATTCTACTGCTCTTTATTTTCAGAGTGGCAGGCAACACACTACCTTTTCAGCAGAATCAAGTCGAAGCCTTTTGATCTGTCTACTTTGGGTTCTCAAAAATGCAGATGAAACAGTTCTCCAGAAGTGGTTTACAGATCTCTCGGTCTTGCAGCTAAACCGGCTATTAGATCTGCTTTATCTCTGCGTATCTTGCTTTGAGTATAAAGTAAGTGCAAAGAACAAGAAAGGAAACAATGTGGGGAAAATAGAAGAAAATGTCTTCAATGCCTCTTCTCTTCTAATGTTTAAATTTTAGGGGAAAAAAGTGTTTGAAAGAATGAACAGCTTGACCTTTAAGAAATCAAAAGACATGAGAGCAAAGCTTGAAGAAGCTATTCTTGGGAGCATAGGTGCTAGGCAAGAAATGGTGCGTCGAAGCCGAGGACAGCTCGGTACGTACACAATAGCTTCTCCTTCTGGTGAGAATTTTTTCAATTTCCTTGAGTTCTGTATTGGAATAATCATTGTTGCTAGTCTTCAATGTCAGTCTTATGCTTTTTAAAGATTGTTTTAAGTGTAACTGTGAATTAACTTGAATAATCATTTCTCTATGGTAATACAAGTTAGAATTCTGATTTAAGAGGAGTCAACATAACTTCCCAGTTTTCTCTAGATAGTCTCAGTTTATGCCTGTTCCCCTTTTGTTATTATTAATAGCACCCATCCTCCCTTTTTAAATAGACTTCATTTTTGTAGAGCAGTTTTAAGTTCACAACAAAACTGAGGAAAAGTACAGAGATTTCCCATATGTCCCTTATCCCTACATATGCGTAGCCTCCCCCATTATTAACATCCCTTATCAGAGTGGCACATTTGTTGTAACTGGTGAACCTACATTAACACATCATCATGCAGAGTCTACAATTTACATTAGGGCTCATTCTGTATAACGTCTCTTTTTACTTGTTTTTTTTGTGAGACAGATTCTTGCTTTGTCACCCAAGCTGGAGTGCAGTGGTGTGATCGTGGCTTACTGTAGCCTTGCCCTCCCTCGCCTAAGCAATTCTCACCCCCTCACCCCCCAGTACACACCTATCCTAGTAGCTGGGCCTACGGGTATGCGCCACCATGCCCAACTAATTTTTTGTTTGTTTGTTTGTTTTAGAAACAGGGTCTCACTATGTTGCCCAGGTTAGTCTCGAATTCCTGAGCGCATGTAATCCTCCCACCTTGGTCTCTCACGGTGCTGGGATGACAGGTGTGGGCCGTCACAGCTGGCCCCTTTTTACTCTTCATTTGCAAAATGAATTAATATACCCTGTATATAAGGCAAAATATTGCCCATCAAACTCAAATATCAGTGAAACAAAACAGTTTAGTAGCGTTTGAGACTGGTTTTCTAATCCCAGGGCTGCTACTCATTAGCCATATAACCTTGGCCAAGTCACTTAATCTCCCTACCTTCCTTTTCCTTACAAATTTGTGATTGTTTCCAGAATTTAGAAGCTGCTGTAACTAACTGATCATATCATTTTTATAGTAACCATGTATGCAGAAACGTTTTGCAAATTCTAAAGTGACATACAGACAATATTGTTGCTAAGAGTTTTTTAAGGCCAGGGTCATGGGTTGGTCATATGTGTACATGGTACATGCCAACAGCATAATATGTGTTTATTGACTTAAAATGCAAATGTAAGTGTGAATGGATTTTTAATTTTTTTCTGACAGGCTATTAGCATAATGATAATCTATTTAAGTATCATTTATATACTGTGTGTTTTATAGTAACAAAGTTACCACAAAACAAAGTCTTTGACTTTAAAAAAATTAATAGAGCACCATTTTTTCTCTTTAGTTATATTCAATTTACAGTGTACTTTTGGTTTTTCTTTTAATTCATTTATTATGTATAGAAACCCTCTGAAAAAGCATGAAAGTTAGCTTTTACTGAGATCATTTAATTACTACCAAAACCTAATGAATAATTATAGTCATCTTTTAGATTAAGAAAATAAAACACAAAGAAGTAAATAACTTTGCCTAAGATCATAAACTAAGTGACAGAACCAGGATCTTTGGATTTCTAATTTAGCATTCCTTCTATTATACCACAGCCCTGAGGTTTATTTTTGGCAAGAATGGAGCTATTAACAATATACTTGCTATATTTTTAAATCTACGGCCCCAGGAAATCTATTATTGTTTGAATATAAGAACTGAAGTCTTCTTGTCTTAGAAAACCTAAGCCTTTGTAAGTCTTATTTACATTGCTACATTTAAGCCAGGTCAATCATAGACATTGGTTTATTAGGTCTAAAGACATTCTTTTCTTTTTCTTAACTTTCAGTTCTAAGACATTATTAACTAATGAGAAACAGTTTTGTGGGGAAAAAAATGTAAATGATAGAAATGTAAATAGATATTAATTTTGCTAACTGTCTTAATATAGGAATATCTTTTGTTTTTTCCACAAATTTCTTAAAGACACGGATTTCAAAATTTTAAAAAGGGAAAGAGAGAAGGAAAGAAATGAAAGGAAAGGGAAAGAAATTGGAAGAAATACAGGCATGTCCTTTATTGTGCGGGAAATTATTCTTATTTCTCAGTATTTTTTGTATTTCTTTAATTGACATATATATAGCTGTATTTTTTTCAGTATTTTTAAAATTTCTATTTGAACTCTAAACTTTTACTTGTATTATTCTTCCTTCCTCCCAACCAATTTAAAGTCTTATCTTTTTCAAAAACAAGCATTTAGTTTTGTAGCTGAAAGTTGAAATCATGACTGAGTCCATTGTTTAAATGTATGTTTGTATATTCTCCACAATTCTCAATGCTCTCTCCACCTCTAATGGATTGTGTGAATCATTTATATTGCTTCCACCCCTTAAAGGAATCCATGCATGCAGTCTGCCTTCAAACCTAGAAACCTCTTAAGAGAAAATTCCGTTCTTCCTCTTGTTCTACCTTATGTAGACTGAAAGGAGTAACTAGGAATCCTTCTTATTTTGTTTATGTAATTAACAGAAACTTACTGAGCTCTCAGTATGCACCACTTTATTATCCTGGATAAAACATGCTGGACAAAGTACATATTTCTGTTCTTAAGGAGCTTATATACTTGCGGTCCTAAGTGTTATGGAAAGGAACAAAGCAAAGTAAAAGGAAAGGAAATACTGGAGAGTGGGAGACCTTTCTAAGGAGGCAATAAATGAAAATTTATGAGACGAACAGTTAGGAAAAAGGAACAACAACCATTGCACAGGTTGTACGTCAGAAGCACACATAGTCAGACTATATACTGATAGATTTGCAAAGATAACAGAAAGCGGTAAGCAAGAAGAATGGTAGGAAGTAAAGTCATATTACGTAAAGCCTTATAAACCATGGTTAAAATTTTAAGAAAATCAGTGTTAGAACATTTGTTTAAATAAACAATACCCATTTAAAAGGATATTTTTTTTAAATTCATATAGCAAATACATTTCTTATGAAATTATTGTGAAAATTTTTAATAAAAAGCATCGTTGTCAGGCTTTTCCACCTGTACTGTGAATAAAATGGCTATGTACAAATTATATGATATTCCTTACGTGTTTGCAAGTATACATATAGGTGGTCCAACCTTTGAAATTTATTTGGCAGAGAGAAGCCCATCTGGAAGTGCCTTTGGAAGTCAAGAAAATTTGAGGTGGAGAAAAGATATGACTCACTGGCGTCAAAACACAGAGAAGCTTGACAAGTAACAGAGCTTTCTATTATCACTTATGGGCTTGTTGAATTTTAAATGCCAGAGGAAAATGATTACTTTCACTTTATATTTATATTTAGTATTTACATTTAATAAATACATTTATTAAGCCTTAGAGGACAAAATATTTAAATTTAAAAATTTTAGATTTAAAAAGATTTGGAGGAAGAACTTGTTGTGGTATAGTAAGGCAAAATGTTATATTTTAAACTTCATTTTCTTTAACACAGCCTCTTGGAAAATGCATTCAGCAACTATATTTTGAACATATTTTAGATGTCACATTGAACTAATATTTCAAATATCTCAAAGAATTAGAAACCTAATATTTGTCCTCTTGGAGCTTATAATTGAAGTAAGACGAAACAATGCAGGTCTTCTGTTTCTGTCATAAAGGCAGACTGGACACATTGACTGACCCTACTGCCGTAAACACCTACAATGCACTTACATGAGTCTTCTCACTGCCCAAGTGGCTGCAGGTAAACTTGCCTGGCTTGAGATTTGGCATTGAGTCAAGGGGCTAAAATTTTTCACTTGAGAATTTATAAGTTAGCCCTCAGTAGCTTGAAACAGAGGAAACAAGTGAGAGCCAGCAGAGAGAAACAAGTTTCAGTACCGTATGTATGAGAGCTTGAAATAATGATACTGAATGTAATATAAATATACTAAAATTCTTAACCTTTGAATGTGTGCTTTCCTTTCTTTTTCTCTAAGTCTGTTTCTCTGATGGCTTTTCTACAGTTGTTATTTTTTAGAAATCACAGAGCAGCCAGGTACTATACTATTAGTATATTGCTTTATTTCTGCATTTATAGAACATGTTCTCTTGGCTTATCCTACTGTACTTTGAGGGAGACTTTTTTGGTGTTCTCCTGATTCTTTTTGTTTAAATCATCTTTATATTTCTTTATAAAATCTCACTGGAAAATTTAAGTTTGAACATTAAATATTTTACTTTCCAGTTTAATTTTGATAACTATGTTTTATTATTTATTTTTTTGAGACAAGGTCTCACTCTGTCACCCAGGCTGAAGTGCAGTGGCACAATCATGACTCACTGCAGCCTTGACCTCTCAGGTTTAGGTGAGCCTCCCCCCTCAGCCTCCCAAGTAGCTGGGGTTACAGCTGTGCCACCACCACACCCGGGTAATGTTTGTATCTTTTGTAGAGACAGAGTTTTGCCATATTGCACAGGCTGGTCTTTAACTCCTGGGCTCAAGTGATCCCCTGCCTCAGCCTCTCTAAAGTATTTTTATTCTTAAACTGAATTTGTAAAATGTAAATTCATGAAGTATTCTCTTTAGCAGTAATAATAAAGATCCACAGACTTACAGATCTAAAAACTTAGAAAAGTTAGCGTTTAATATGTCTTTGTACTTTAATTTACGTGTTATTTTGTCTACTTTGGTATAATATATGGTGTCTGTATATCTATTGTTGCTAAAACAGAAATGTCAGCTATATTCATAAATAATGTGTAATTAAAAGAGAATAAGAAAAAAGGCAATAGTTCACACATTTATCCTGCCTGTTGTTAACCATGACAATACACATTTCTCATCCCATTACAAAAGCAGAATGCCATTAAAAGCATAAATGTTTACGCTTAAATTTTTATTTGCATTAAATGATACTTTTATAAATATTAGTATTTAAGCAAACCACTTTATTGCATCAAACTTTTGTTCTTTTTCTTATTTTTCTAGCTTTATTGAGTTATAATTGACAAAAATTGTGTATATTTACAGAATATAACATGATCTTTTAATGTATGTGTACAATTGTGAAATGATTACCACAGTCAGGCTAACTAGCATATTCATCACCTCACATCCTTTTTCCCCCCAAATTGTTTTCTTTCCAATGAGTGATTCCATCTAGTTTTACTGAAGAGTTAAATGACCATCTGAGCATATTTATTTTAAAAATTTTGAGGAAAATTAGATGAAACCTTAGACAAAATAAGTACATTTATCCTGAATACAGACATTGGAAATCTTTGAAATAGTAAGATGAATACTAAATATTTGAATGTTGTTTTCTGTGAAGCATTCCTGAATACAAGCCCACATAGCACCACCTAGTGTCAGTGTCACTTAGAATAAAACTATGTCGCTGCATGTTTGAAAGCTAAAACATAAACATTTATGCTTTTAGTGGCATTACGATTCCATAATGGGATGAGAAAACATGTATTGTCATAGTTAACAAAAGACGGTAAATGTGTAAACTATTGCCTTTCTTTTTATTCTCTTGTAATTGTTTATCAGGCAAATATTGAAAATGATTTCAAATTTTTTGTTTCTATGCATCCTTAAATATTTTAAGAATTGTGGCTTTTAAAAAGATAAGTATAATTTCTTACAATGTTTTGTATTAGATCAAGAGCAGAGATTGAACACGAAGCGCTGATTGATGGAAACCTGGCTACAGAAGCAAACCTGATCATTTTGGATACATTAGAGATTGTTGTTCAGGTAAGAACGCAAAGAAGAGAAATTTAAAATACAGATTTGGTAAATTGAGGTTGGGGGAAAAGTGTTTACTGTGAGCCATAAAATTACATTTTGTTTAATTACATTTAAATAGTAGTAGTTCCTAAAAGTTTCATTCCAAGCATGCTGAGATTCTCTATAATTATAAATTCCCATCACTTCAACTGTTTCTTCATGGAGGAGAATTATAAAATCTTTATCTCCTTGTCATTCCCCTTCGTGGCCTAGTCTTGCATTTCCAAGTATCCTCTGAGTGTTTATAGTTGGGTGTTCTGCCATCATGTGAGATTCAACATGCCTGTATAGCTGTAGCTACATATACGTACACTGGGTTTATGCAGTATCTTCTGTATCCTACAGCAGTGTTTCAGGCTCTTTATCTATAATCATCTTGTTGGGTCCTAACAGAAGCCCTCTAGGTGGTATTATTCTGTTAGTAACAATGTGATATCAAACATTTATTTAGTTTTTTCTTTGTTAAACGTTGTCCTAAGCACTTTACAAATATTAACTCATTTGATCCTTCTTAACTCATGCCATTGAAACTGTAGTATCTTCATCTTGTAGATGAGAACGCTTAGGCACAAAGATGTTAAATAACTGCCCATAATGACACAACTAGTATGTAGAAGAGCCAGGATTCAAATCAGTTGGCAACATCTCTCAGATGTTTTAGTAAATAGGTCTGTCACCTATTCCTTCCACTTCTTTTCTGCTACCACTACAATGGCCGCCTGCTTCATGATACTTACCCTGTGTGCTTCCTACTATCCATTCTGTACATTTGCATAAGACTTTTCTTTTAAAAATATTTTATGGCTGGGCACGGTAACTCACACCTGTAATCCCAGCACTTTGGGAAGCTGAGGTGGGCGGATCACTTGAAGTCAGGAGTTCAAGACCAGTCTGGACAACAGGGCAAAATCCTGATTCTATTAAAAATACAAAAATTAGCCAGGTGTGGTGGTGTGCACCTGTAATTCCAGCTACTCAGGAGGCTGAGGCACAAGAAATGCTTGAAGCCAGGAAGCGGAGGTTGCAGTGAGTAGAGATCATACCACTGTACTTCAGCCTGGATGACAGAGCGAGACTCCAGCTCAAGAAAAAAAATATTTTATCATTCATTATCCTGACTAAAGTTTTAAAAATATAAAAAATTTAATATTTTGCATTGCCTAAAGAAAAAGTTGGGAAACTCTTCAGATTTAGAATGCTCTTTATAATTTGGTGTTTATTAGCTGGAGAGATGGAATAGGTCTCAGCTATTACTACAAAGAGAATCAAAAGAAGTAGTAAGTCCAAGATACCTAATTCAAGATGGTTGCCTGAGCTGCAGCCATCATGTCTATATTTCACTGTGCAAAGAAACAGCAACGACAGAGTACATTTCTTCTTTTAAGGGCATGACTCAGAAGATGAAACTTCTCTTTTGTTTACCTCTCTCTGTCGCTGGATTCAAAGTCTCCAGCTAAAAGTCAGGATTTCAAAGAATAGTTATTTGTTTACTGCCAATATTCTTTGCTATAGGCACCACTGTATTTTTTAGCTTTATCTCTAGTTATTTTCTACTGAACCTCAAGTCAGTTCAAATTTACTTACTAATTTTCCTAAAACACACCTGATGATTGATTTCCTGCCATTATATCTTGCTCCACTTTTTTTCTCACTTAAATTATATTTATTTTTTTCTCCTTTTTCTTATTCAAATCCTTCTCAGCTCCCTCTTGAAGCCATCCTAGATCTTATATTGCCATTTTTTAATCTTTTAAAAGTTTACATATTCTACCACCTTAACTAAATTGCGGGTACATCTCTATTTTATTTGTTTATTTTTAAATTGTAGACCGTTTCTGTAACAGAATCCAAAGAGAGCATCCTTGGTGGAGTGCTAAAAGTGCTACTACACAGCATGGCCTGTAACCAAAGTGCAGTTTATCTACAACACTGTTTTGCTACACAGAGAGCCTTGGTTTCAAAGGTAGGTTATTTTGTACCTGCAGTGTTGTCAGATGTTTTTCTTTATTCACAATCATTTGACACATTCATTGGTTAACATATGTAGTAATATATTAATTAATATGTGTAGTTACAATTTAAATAATAGCCTAAGACCCTTGACTCTTCTTTGCCTTTCTGCTGCTGCCTGCCTTTTGGAATTTTTGATTTATTTGAATCACCTTTAACCAGTTCTGGTTTAAAAAATAGTAATTTTGATGTGGAGAAGAGCCTGAAATTAATAGCCCATCTTAAATATGGGGCGTCTCTTGTTTTCTCTTCACTTTGTTCTGTTATTTTAAAAACTCAATCTATAAAGAATTCAATATATCAGTAGTTCAACCCACTGAAACTATTCTGTGATGAATGGAAAAGAAGATGTTTATTTGTTCAGTTGCTTTCAATATTTACTTCTTATGTTTGTTTTCCCTCAGAAATATGAATATTCTTAAATTTTGAAGATAGCTATTTCATTTTAATCATCCTAGAAGATGGAATGCAGAGATGTTGATGAAAATTACTTACATATTATTTTATAATAAATCTAAAATTTATATATGTTGATTACTAAGTGTTTTATGCACATTCTGATAGAAGCTTCACAACAATCCCTTGTAGATATATTATTGGACCTATTTTGTGGATGAGAAAACTTGTCCAGTGTCACACTACTAGTTAGTAAGTGGCATAATCAGCGTTCGAACCCAGTCTGACTCTGTGTCTCACACTATTAACCATTAGCTAATATTGTCCTAACCATTCGTTTAATTTCTGGGCTATACTAAAGATCTCCAGTTTAGGTTATATTAACATATCTCAGGAACTTTTACTGTAAAAATTCAGTGGTGGTTTGTTGGTGGTTGTGTTTTACAGTTTCCTGAACTCTTATTTGAAGAAGAGACAGAGCAGTGTGCTGATTTATGCCTCAGGCTTCTTCGACACTGTAGCAGTAGCATCAGTACGATACGGTCACACGCCAGTGCTTCCCTTTACCTACTAATGAGGCAAAACTTTGAGATTGGGAATGTAAGTATTTTATCATGAAAATTCTCTGTATTCATAATGAAATATAACTTCTGCTGATAGTTATTAAATCAGTTTTTGGGAAAGCATGGAGGTTTTTGTACATTTTAAGTGTAGTCATAGACTGTCTTGATATTTCTCATTCTGTGTATTTCTTACAAAAATCCAAATCTCTGTGTGTGTATGTATGTAAATTAGTACAAACTTAGAATATAAATGTACATTGAGCAGTTTTAAATTTTAGTTGTCCCTAAGTAAAAAGAAATAAAAGTTTAAGTATCTTGGCTTGATATTTTATGATTACATGTCACAACCTTTGAAGAATTCCATTTTTTCATTTAAGCTTTTTATTATATATTATATTCATGTGTTGTATTTTTCCTTTTTGAGTCAAATATTTAGTTCATTTATTTTTGCTCATGTAAGTATTTAAGGCTTTGAATTTTCCTTTAAGCACTGTTTTTGGCATCTCTTTGGTTGTGATATATTTCAGTTTGTATTTTCTTTTTAACCCAAAAAGTTGACTAGCCTTTTTGTTTCAAAGTTTTGGCTGGTTCCAGTGGCTCATCCTGTAATCCCAACACTTTAGGTGGCCAAGGAAGGAAGATTGCTTGAGGCCAGGTGTTTGAGACCAACCTAGGTGACTGAGTAAAACCCTATCTCTATTTAAAAAATAAAAAATAGGCCAGGCGCGGTGGCTCACGCCTGTAATCCCAGCACTTTGGGAGGCCGAGGCGGGTGGATCACGAGGTCAAGAGATCGAGACTATCCTGGTCAACATGGTGAAACCCCGTCTCTACTAAAAATACAAAAAATTAGCTGGGCATGGTGGCGCGTGCCTGTAATCCCAGCTACTCAGGAGGCTGAGGCAGGAGAATTGCCTGAACCCAGGAGACGGAGGTTGCGGTGAGCCGAGATCGCGCCATTGCACTCCAGCCTGGGTAACAAGAGCGAAACTCCGTCTCAAAAAATAAATAAATAAATAAATAAAATAAAAAATAAAAAATATTAGCCGGGCTTGGTGTCCTGTGCCTGTGGTCCCAACTGCTTGGGAGGCTGAAGTGGGAGGATCCCTTTGAGCCCAGGAGTCTGAGATTGCAGTGAGCTATGAACAGACTACTGTACTCTAGCCTGAGTGACAGAGTGAGATCCTGTCTCAAAAAAAAAACTTTTTTTTTAAGTGTTAATTTTCAGCTTTATTACATTGTGATTGTACGATATATATTCTGTTTCTCCCTTTCTTTACTGTGAATCTCTGTATTTGTGTGTCTAAATATAATCCATTTTTACAAGTATTCTACAGAAAAATCTTTAAAAAGGGGTATTTCTATTTTCAGAATATTGAGTTAAACATATACCAAATAAATACACCTTATTAACATTACTCTGTCTCTCCATATCCTTGTTTTTGTTTTACTTGGTAGAAGTAAATTAAAGCCTATAATGTGTTTGTCTGTTTCTCCTTTAGCTTTAATTTGGTGTGCTAATACTCGTAACTGTTACATCTTCTTAAGAGTTTTTTCCCTTTGGAATTTAAAAGAATCCATGTTGCTTTCATTTAAAACCTTTATTCCATTTTATTTTTTGGCCTGAATTTTATCTTTTATGGTATTAAGATCTTGACCTCTGTCTTCTTTTTAATTTGAACTTACTTTAATTACCTTTGCCTGTTCTTTAATTTGCACTTTATTTTAGGTGTGCCTCTCATATACAATGTAAGAGTTGAGTTTTGCTTTATGATCCAACCTCATACTTGTTATTATGTTAGATATGTCCTGGAATTCTATTTTATTATTGTGTTACACCTTTCTGTTTTCCCTCCCCTTTAAATAGTTGTGTTGGTTGTTTTCATCTTACATTATCTGGTCTGTTCACCTTGTTTTTGGGATGTAGTGTTTATCACATTTAGGAAAATTTCCGGTTTTGCTCTAATGGTTGCCTTTGTAGTTATATAATAACCCTAGTCCTCTATTTCTTGAGATCATGCATTCTCAACCAGGGCAGTATTACCACCAAGGGAGTGAAAATTGGTTTCTGTGGAGGATGAGAAGAATCTTAGCTTATGGTCCTCGAAAGCTCAATACTACCCAACAACATGGCATTCCTTAGTATTTATTTTTCTCATTGGTCTTATTGGGTATCACATGAGCAACATTGACAATAAGTTCATGAAAAATAAACAAAAAACAAAATGTATGTAAAGTTAGTCTTATGAAACTGGGGAATAGATGACTGTGATTGGGAGACTTAATTAGTTGCTTGATCTCAGAGTCAGTGGCAAGAGGTTGCTTCCATTGGCTGCCTTGTGAATATTACTTATATTTGATTCTCAGTGTATTCATGTGTGACTTGGGCTTTGAAAATTAAGCCCAAGAAAAAAAACTTTCCGATTTATTACTTCATTCTACAAAAGTTATTCAACCAATTTTTAATCATGTCAGTTGCTGAAAAGAAAAAATGTCAGCAGTATTTGAATGAATATCTAGTAACCAGAACTTACTTTCTTTTATCAAGCAAATGGTAAAAGTTCACTGAAATAATTTTTAAGAAATTTTTAATTGTTTTCTTTTGCTGGATAAACAGCAGTTTTGAATAGTTTAAAATATTTGATTACATTGCTACTTTTGTTTTATAGTTATATAAGTTGCTAATTTATTTATGTAATTTGATACATTACAGTTTATTTAAACTTAAAGATTATAAGTTTTTCAGAAAACCAGGCTATAAAGGTAAACTAAATATAAATCATTTTCAGATTTTTAACTTAAAATTTTAATCTAGTCATTCATAACCTTACATTGAATAAAAAGAATAAGCTTTATATTTACTTTCTTGTGTGTATATAAATCAGATATACATAGAGTACCTAAACAGATATATACATCTCTGATATTAAAATATCTTAGGGATATTAGAAAAAAATGTTCAAAAATATTTATTAGGGAGTTAATAAAGGAAAAAATACTGAGAAACTACTTGAAGCAAGTATCTGTTAACTCCCTTTAATGAACAGTGATAAAATTGCTGGTTTTCTTCTTTCTTTCCTGCACCCTATCATTCTTTGTACCTCAGTATTTTGAAAAAGCATCTTTCTTACTGTTTACATTTGTATTGCTGAATCTGCATGTACTTCACGTGATTTAATTGCTACCTTCAAGTAATGTTATTTGTTTCGTGTCTACTGTAGATAGTTAAGTGCTTCTTTTCATCTCCTCTCTCACCCTTCTAGTTTTTTTCTTGGCTGTAACATTTCAGTCTTAGTTCATAGTCTTAGTTATAAAATGAAATATTGCCTACCACCAGTTTTTTTGGGCTGTAATTGTCTTTTATTTAGCTAAATATTGTCCTCATCAAGGTTCTTAGGAGTCATATTTTCCAAGTGGTTTTTTGTTTGTTTTGGTAGAGACAGGAACTCACTTTGTTGCCCAGTCTGGTCTTGAACTCCTAGACTCAGGCAGTCCTCCCTACGTGGCCTTCCAAAGTGCTGGGACTGCAGGTGTGAGCCACCTCGCTCTGCCTGCCTCACCCCCAACCCCTTTTTAAAAATAGAGATAGCGTTTCCCTCTGTCGCCCAGGCTAGACTGCAGTGGCGTGATGGCACTTCACTGTAGCCCAGAACTCCTGGGCTCAAGTTATCCTCCCACCTTGTCCTCCCAGAGTGGTGGAATTACAGATAATAACCACTGCACCTGGCCAATTTTCCAAGTTCTTATTTGTTTAAAGTTGTCTGTACTTGTAGGACAGCAAGGGTGGTTATGAAATTTGGACAGTAAGAGTGTTTATGAAATTTTGGCCTTAGATTTTGAATAATAATAAGCATGAGACAAATCAGCACAACTTATCAGATAAAGAATACCTCATAGAAAAAAAAGGTACTTGAGTACCATTTATCTTCTGACTTTAAATATTGTTGTATTGTTGTAGCTATATTGGAAAATAGCCTGATATTTTTCTCCCCTATAAATCACGTATTTTTCCCCAGCTGCTCATGAGATTTTCTTTATATTTACAATTAAATGTCTTTTTTAGAATATTTGTCTTGGTGTTGACTGATTTGTGTTAAGTTTCTCAGGCACATGATGTATACTTTTAGTTCATTTATTTCAGAACATTTTCTTGAGTATAAAATTAAATATTTTTTTTGTTCCTGTGTTTGGAGTTTCTTTACTGGGTATCATTATACATATGTTAAATCTTTTATTTTACCTGTCATTTTGCCTTCTCCTTTTTAACACTTTAAAAATTTCATCTTCATTTCTGTTTTTTCCTTTCTTTTCCAAGTAAAAAATTTTCTTTGCCAGCTCACATGTAATCGATTATATGTTACTGTTTTCTGATTTTTGCCATCTTTCCTTGAGGTTTTTTTTTTTTATTTATTTTGTCCTGTGACAGAATTTTACTCTTGTTGCCCAGGCTAGAGTACAATGGCGTGATCTCAGCTCACTGCAACCTCTGTCTCCCGGGTTCAAGCAATTCTCCTGCCTTAGCCTCCCGAGTACCTGAGATTGCAGGCATGCGACACCACACCTCGCTAATTTTCTTTTGTATTTTTAGTAGAAATGGGGTTTCTCCATGTTAGTCAGTCTGGTCTTGAACTCCCGACCTCAGGTGATCCACCTGCCTCAGCCCCCCAACGTGCTGGGATTACAGGCGTGATCTTGAGTTCTTATATTCTGCCTTGTTGTTTTTTTTTTTTTTTTTCCTAAAGATAATATCTTCATAAATTTTTTATTATTTAAGTCAAAATATTTCATTAGAATTTTCATCTGTTTTATGACATTTGTTTATTAAGTATTCTTTATCTGGTGAGTTTTGCTGCTGTTCCTTACCTTTTTATTACTCAACATAGGATAAACTGGGTTATCTTGGCCCAGGTATTTACAGGGAGTTCCTTTAGGAATGTGTTTTTTGGCTGGGATTTTGCTATTGCAGGTACATCTTGCCTAACTGCCTAAACTTTCTGAGGATCCATCTCTGTTCAATTTTACCAGATTTTTACCTTTTTTTTTTTCCAAACAATTTTGTAACTTCAAGATGAGTTTCTTTTTTTTTGAGATGGAGTTTCGCTGTTGTTGCCCAGACTGGAGTGCAATGGCACGATCTCGGCTCACCGCAACCTCCGCCTCCTGGGTTCAAGCAATTCTCCTGCCTCAGCCTCCCGAGTAGCTGGGATTACAGGCACGCACGATCATGCCCAGCTAATTTTTGTATTTTTAGTAGAGACGGGGTTTCACCTTGTTGACCAGGATGGTCTCGATCTCTTGACCTCGTGATCCACCCGCCTCTGCCTCCCAAAGTGCTGGGATTATAGGCGTGAGCCACCGCGCCCGGCCGAGTTTCTTATATATTTATGTATTTATTAGAGACAAGATCTTGCTCTGTTGCCCAGGCTGGAGTGCAGTTGTACTCCAGCTCACTGCAGCCTCAAAACTCCTGGGCTCAAGGGATCCTCCCACCTTAGCCTCCCAAGTAGCTTGGGCTGTAGGCACACACCACCATGACTGGCTAATTTTTTTTATTTCTTGTAGAGATGAAAGATATGAGCTACTATCATACCTGGCCAAGTTTCTTACTTAGAGGAAATATTTGTTTCCCTCATTAGTTCTGAAATCTGAGCCCTGGGATTCCTCACTCTTTGCTTTCCTTTCCTTGCCTTATATTGGAACTGCTTCCTAACTTAGCTTGTGTTGACAACCTCACATTTTTCTAATAAATGGATTATATCTGACTCCTTATTTTGATGTAAATAGAGTTTATAGATTTTTCTTCTATTCACCTTTTATTTTTACATGAAATTCAGAAGTGGGAAATTGCTATCTCATACTGTCCTTTTTTTCCAGAAGCAAAGTCCTCTGACTTAACCCAGAATCGAAGAATACAGTTACTTTATTGATCTTATTTAGTTTTTGAAATAAAGTCTCTAAAATTTGACCACACTCAGTTTTCTTGATATTTTTTTTGTTATTTTGGAAAAGCTTTATTAAAAGAAGAGAGGACAGTTTATAGTATTACTGTCAGGTAGTATTTCTAAAAAGGAATAGTTAAAACTGGCATATGTTTATTCAACAGATACAGTATTATATCTGTATATTGTACAATATATTAAAGTATGGAACTGTGTCTTGGCTGCTTTAGTAGGCATTGGGCAGATACAGATAAAAGAACAGTTCTTTTTTTTCAAGTATCTTGGCACCTAGTGGGAGAGGATGAGAAAGTAACATTCATTTAATAATAGATGAATCTAGTTAAGACGGTTTGCCAGTGTTATATAAATTAAGTAAAACGTAACAGTAGATGGCACTAAGCAAGTGTTGAATAAGTACTTGGTCTTATTAATACAATGAGAGATAAGCACAGGGTACTACATAAGCACATAGAAAAATAGTTTTATGATTCAGGGATGGGTTTTCAGAAAGAAAAGATGTTTGAAGTAAGGATGAAGAATTACCCAATCAGTTGGCTAAGTGGATAGAGCTTTTTAAGTAAAGACAATGACACATGCATAATTGGAAAGGCATGGAGAAAGAGAAGGAAATGGGCAAACACAGAGGCAATTTTTTAGCACCTTTTTCAAATTTTGGGAGATTAGGTCTTACTCTATTGCCCAGACTGGAGTGCAGTGGTACAGCTTTGAACTCCTTGGCATAAAAGATCCTTCCACTTCAGCCTCGCAAGTAGCTGGCTCTACAAGCAAGTGCAACGACACCAAACTAATTTAAAAAAAAAAAACAAAAAAACAATTGTAGACATGCCGGTCTCAAACTCTGGGCCTCAAGTGAACATCCTGTCTTGACCTCCCAAACTGTTGGGATTACAGATATGAGCCACCATGCCCACGCTTTTTTTTTTTTTTTTTTTTTTTTAAAGCACTTCTTGATGGTTATGGCTGGAAGAAAGAGTAAGGGATAAAGGTGTAATTGAAAAGGCCTAAGTTAGGTCTTTTCAAATACAAATTATTTTATTACTATACTCTCAGTGCCTACTATGTAGTGTGACATATTTACTGAGTTGAATTCTTGAATTTTCTCCTCAAAACTTTGGACAGCTCCTTTGGAGCATTTTAGGGAGAGGAGGCACATGTTCAGATTTAGATTTTACAGAAAGTTTCCTGGTGCTAAGTAGAGGATAGACTGAGAGATATGAAAGAAAAAGTCACAGAGATTGATTACGAAGTTATTACAGTAATCCAGATAAGAAATTGTTAGGGTGTAAAATAAAGCAAAGGCATTGGGAATGGAGAAAGGATATACTGAGACACATCAGGAGATGGTGTGGTTTGAATTTATGGTATGAAAAATGAGAGGGGAGAATGAGTAGGGGCTGACCCCTAGATTTTTGGCATGACTCTAAGAATAGTATCTTCACTGTTTTAGGTAATCAGTAGAAAAAGAAGGTATTTTAGACATGTTGACTTTGTGGTACTTATGAGACATCCAGATGGTGCTATCTAGTAAAATATAATAGCCTGGAGCTCTACAGAGAAATAACAGCTGGTGACAGAAACATTTGTATATACTGGTTGAAGCAAAGACAAGGATGAGGTTCTTTAGAATATGTTAAGTGAGAAAAGGTTTTTGACAGAATATTTGGGAATACTAGTCTTTAGGAAGGTCAGCCAAGGAAAAACAAAACAGAAAAAGAGTCAAAAAAGAACAGGGAAATCAGGATAAAGTGGTGCCATTAAAGATAAAGTAGGAGATTTTCAAGGAGAAAGTAATGCATTTAAATATACCAAGATGTGAAGAATATTGACCAAAAAATATTGGATTAGATAATTGATATATTATCACCAGTAATCTCTTAAGAGTGATTTCATGGTAGAGAATGGTGGAGCAGAAGTGAATTTACACTAAAAAAGGAAGAATGTTAAGTTATGAGCTCTTAAAGTCATCACTCCAAAAGATTCTACCTTACATTACTTTATGCATGGTGATGTGTGTTAAATTACTTTCATCATAGTATGGATTTGATGAAATGGAATAGAGTTTAAATACTCTATCTACCATTTAAGAGTTTTATAATGTCAATTAAGCTATTTAACCTCATCTGTAGAATGTTTTATTAATAACATATGCCTCATAATAAATCAATGTAAAGACATAAGCAGAATTTCTAATTCAGCTCTGACACGTGACTTCTTAAAATCCTGTTTTGTAGCCATTATTCACAACAAAATTATAAGTTTTACATCCTTCCTAAAATAAGATTTTGATATACATATTTTATTACTTTAAAAATATTTTTGCTTAGAATGGTATTTTTTCACTAAATATACTTTTTTTTTTTTTAGCAAGGAAAATAGCAGACTTTTTAAAGCTTTCCTGTATTAACTACTGACCTGACAATTTCTCTGTTACAGAACTTTGCCAGGGTTAAAATGCAGGTAACAATGTCACTATCCTCCTTGGTGGGCACATCTCAGAATTTTAATGAAGAATTCTTAAGACGTTCTCTAAAGACCATATTGACATATGCTGAAGAAGACCTGGAATTGCGGGAAACAACATTTCCTGATCAGGTCAGAAATACTGCTTTCTAGATCATTAATTGAAATAGGCTTGTTAAATAGGCACTTTCCAAATTGTTAAATCAAAAGTTGGTTTTTGCCAGAGGATCATTTATTTCATTTTCAGTCCACACATCGTGTGCCATAGATAGGACTAAATCTTTTTGTTTTATTAAGCTACACTTCTTTTTGGAAATAATTAATGTCTTTGGTGGTTAATTCTGTGCATTTATAACAAGTAGAACAGTAGACTTGGACAGTACAGACAAAGCTTTATGACTAAATGTTCCTACTTATTAATCAAACGATAATATGCCTTAAAAACGAAAGTTTCTACAAACTACCTTTTAGTAAAATCAGAAATACAGGAGAGAATTTTTCTTTTGTATTCTCGTATATCGAGTATCCTTCTATTTTATTTCTACTTATAGTTCTGCTTGTTTCCAGGTGAAAGAACAAAAATGTACATAGTATGCTGAGGAATTTATATAAAGTTTACTACCCTTCACTTAACCATATCCCCACATACCTATACTCTACAGAACCATATCAGTATGATACAACTTGTTTTGAAATCTTTAGATATTTATCTGAAATATCTCTGAAATTAATTTGGTGATTATGGATGAACAACAATTCAAGAATGTTTTTTATATAATTATCTGCTGCAGGTTCAGGATCTGGTTTTCAATCTCCATATGATCCTTTCTGATACTGTGAAAATGAAGGAACACCAGGAGGATCCTGAAATGTTGATTGACCTAATGTACAGGTAGCATTTGTATGATTCATTTATGCTTTGTGTAAGGGACTTAGTAAGATATACAGTAAGCATTAGGTGAAAAAAATAAACACCCAAGAATGATTTGTGATTTTTCTCTATTTGCTTTATTATTTTTTTTATTTTTTACTTTTTTGTAGAGATGGGGTTTCACCATATTGCTCAGGCTGGTCTTGAACTCCTGGGCTCAAGAGATCTGCCTGCCTTGGCCTCCCGAAGGTCTGGGATTACAGGCATGAGCCAAACCTTGAGTGATTTTTCTAATGGTAGATTGAAAGTACAAATGTACTTTTTCCAGGTGACATCTTCAGATCTTCTGTGTCTCTTCTTTTAAGAACAATGCAAGTATACTTACTGATTATCAAAAACAAGAGGATATTTAAAAATATTCATAACACACATTTAACACCTTGGTGTACTGTACCCCAAACTTCCTCTGAAGGCCCATACCAATATTTTCAATGTAAAACTCAGTCTTTTAAGAAGAAAAAACAGTATATGAGTGTTTTACCATAACATTAATTACCTAATATTCAATACAGTTATGACCAAAGAGTGATATTTCTTGGGGCACATTTTGAATAATCTGTAATTCCTATTGTATTAACAACGTAATAGATACAATAGTAAAACTTAAGAATTTTTATCTGTCATATGATCCTATGTTCTTACAATTTTGGGGTTCATTAAAAGCACAAATAAAACAGTTTAATCTCTTTGAAATACAGGTGATGTGATAAAAAGTACTTTTTATAAGTTTTCTTATTTTCCCTGTATTTCTGTAATGGACACATAATATTTCATACTTTTTCCCTTAACTGATTATTTCCTTAATGATCAGATTTTAATATGGCCTATTTCTTTTTTGCCTTCCCCGCCCCCTCAACTGATATTATCCATTCCATGGGCCGCAGTTGTTTCTCTAAGCCTGCACAATGACATTTTCATACTACTTTAAAACTACATAGGTTGTGCATAGTGTCAAAAACCTATCTAGGTAAACTCTGAGTGAGCCATCTAAACTCCCGCCCAGCTTGGGAAGCATATGCTAACTGAGAAGAATTTCTGTTCTAATTAGAATTGCCAAGGGTTACCAGACCTCTCCAGATCTGCGATTGACCTGGCTGCAGAACATGGCTGGCAAGCACTCAGAACGAAGCAATCATGCTGAAGCTGCACAGTGTCTAGTCCACTCAGCAGCACTTGTTGCTGAATATTTGAGCATGCTAGAGGACCGGAAATATCTTCCTGTGGGATGTGTAACATTTCAGGTAGGAATCTTCCATAGCACTGATAATTGAGAGGGAAGAAACTTTCCACAGTTTCTTACATCTGAATTAAGAAACTTTCTAGTTTCTTACCTCTGAATTGTCAGTGCTATGCTTATTTATTCTCTTTGTCTTTACTGCTTTGTAATCAGTTATGTACTTTAACATCTATGAAAATTTATTACTGAGAATCAGAATTCAGTAGAAATTCTTAATTGGCTTTTACTTAACATAGCAGACATACCAATATTCTCCACTCTCGGCATAAAATACTAGTATATTTTATGACTAATACAATGACTCACAGATGAGTTTCCTTCTAGTAGGGTACATAGCTCTGACCCACTAGTTGAATTCTTTGCTTACCAAGAGTCAGTTCTGCTTTGCTTTTCTTCAAAACCTGTTAATGGTAGGTTTAGGATATTATACAATTTAGTTAAATGTTATGTCTTCTAATGAAATCAGAATGCAAAAAGGAAGTTATTATTTCTCTGAAAAAAAAATTGAATGTTTTGCAAAGACTCAGGAAAGATGAATCTCCAAAATAATTGCTGTTGAATTAATTTTGGACCAGACAAATAAATTAGGGGAGGGGGGACTCCTAAAATTCTAGAATAATTTGATAATCTTTTAAGTTCAAGCTTTCACTCAAAAGAAACAAAAACTTGAAATCTTTAAAAAGAATGTTGCCTTATGGGTATTTAACCAAGAGAGATTCCGTGGAAATCTGATCTGGAGACCCATACACACAAAGAAAAGGCCTTAGATCAACTTCAAAAGTTGATAAATGAGTGTACATCTACTGTAAATGTTTAGGCTAAAATAACATATATATGTATCACTTCTTTTTTAGAAATAATGGCTGATCGCAATCTCATTAAATAAGAGGGCTTTTATTATACCTGAGTTTTTTAAATAACTCAGTGTATATTAGATAAGCCGAGACCATTTTTTTTACCTTAATTTCTCTTATAGTTTTGAGAAGATCAATTAAATAAATAAATAAGAAAGACTATTGATGTCTCCTTTGATGTCTTATGTTATATTACTGTTTCCTTTAGCCCATGATTTTTCTTAATTTTCTTTCATACAGCTTTTTATTAAGAGAAAAGTTATATAGTAATGGCATTTTCATTCTATTGTCATCTTCAAAGTACAGAAAGTTTTTGGAGATTTATCTTTTACCTCACTCTCCTTTTTTTTAACCTAACCTGATAGTTATAGTTTATCCTGATATTTCTTCTTATACATTTTTATGCTAGAAAATTAATTCCATTTCAAAAACCTTTTCAATTTATTTTTTCCCTAGAATATTTCATCTAATGTTTTAGAAGAATCTGCAGTCTCAGATGATGTGGTATCTCCAGATGAAGAAGGTATCTGCTCTGGAAAATACTTTACTGAGTCAGGACTTGTGGGATTACTGGAACAAGCAGCTGCTTCTTTCTCTATGGTAGATGACTCTTGTTAATTCTTTTTCTACAATTTCATACCTCTAATTATCAATGACATGTATATTTGTTCTCTCTGTTTTATGACCCTACTTTTCTTTAAAGATAATTTATTCTGGACCCGGTATGGTGGCTCATGCCTGTAATCCCAGCACTTTGGGAGGCCACGACGGGAGGATTGCTTGAATTCAGGAGTTCAGGACCAACCTGGGCAACATAGTGAGATACTGTCTCTACAAAAAATTAAAAATTTGCCAGGCATGGTAGCTCATGCCGGTGGTCCCAGCTACTAGAGAGGCTGAGGTGAGAGGATTGCTAGAGCCCAAAAGGTTGAGGCTGCTATGAGCCATGATCATGCTGCTGCACTCTGGCCTAGGCAACAGAGTGAAACCCTGTCTCCAAAAAAAAGTTTGTTTTTTATTCCAAGTCCCTTAAAAACTATCTAGGAGTAGATTTTCTTGCTAGATTCATTGTTGGCTTACTCCTTTTCATCTTAGTAATCTGTCACTTCCCCCAGTGTTTCAGTGTTTTGGCTCACGGTAGCCTCAAACTCCTGGGCTCAAGGGATCCTCCTCCTCCTGAGTAGCTGGGAATACAGGGGCACAGAGGTACACCATCACACCCCTCTAATTGTTTTATTTTTTTGTAGGGATGGGGTTTCACTTTGTTTCCCAAGCTGGTCTCAAACTCCTGACCTCAAGTTATGTTCCCCCGATCAGCCTCCCAAAGTGTTAGGATTATAGGCATGAGCCACTGTGCCTGGCCCCACCAGTGTTTTTTATTTGCTTGTTATGAACCAGCATGTAATTTGCTTTTATGAACCAGCATGTAATTTGCAGCAGATATTTTTTGTTTCATAAAACTTTTACTGCCAAACATTTTCTAAAACAAATTAAAAAACAGAGCAAAACAAAACAGAAAGTCTCTGAGTGATATGTTACTAGTTGGCAGAGTGACAGGGCTCTGTAAATAGAGCTTGTCTGTTGGATGAAATGGAGAATCTTTCCAGTTTGTTGGGCATTGCCCTGGTGTCCAGGAAAGTTAAGCCACTCATTCTGTTGGTTGCATAGTAATCCTCATTAGGTAGTTATTGGAGGCCTGGACCTTACTCTTTAGTTTTATGAACTGCGTCTTGAATTTTTTGCCTGACTACACTACCATGCTATAACCCCAGTCTCGTTCCCTTCCATGTCTATGTGAAGAATTACAGCAGTCAGATGGAACCCAGATGGGGTGTTTATTGGAGAAGGAAAAGATAGTTAGCTGAATTCATGCTTACCGTCTTGAACCATGTTGGTAGGGTCCCTTACTTTCTCTGACGTTTCTGCCGAATGTTTAGTGTCTCAGCACCAAGGTTTGGGAGACACTGAGGTTCATGTTAGGATAAGAGAGAAGCTTGAGGTAATACGCAATGCTGCCTTCCTTCCCCATTTGTACTACTGTTGGAAATTGGCTCTTTCTTTACCAGGCCTTATCCCTATCCTGCAATATATTGGTTAAGGGTACTTTTAGAAGGCATACTACCAAAGTTCAAATCCTGGCTCTGCCATTTAGTAGTTGTGTTGCTTCAGGCACAAATTATTTAACCAGTTGGTGCCTCACTTTTCTTGTCTATTAAATACATCTAGTAATAGTACCTACCTCATAGGAATGTTGTTAGGATTCTAAGTAAGTTCATGTATGTAAAGTGCTTATCACAGTGCCTGGCTCCAAGTAAGTACAAGTGTGCTTACTGCTACCATCATTTTCATCATTATTGACAATTATGAGACCCTTAAGAGTCTTTTTGCAGAGTTAAAATATTAGGTGTCAATCATCTTTTAAAATGTTTGCCTTTAAGGACCTTGACCATTCCAATTCCTTCCCTACACTTGTCTAAGCTAGCATGGGGAAAGGTTTGGGTTTTTTTTTTTTTTTTTTTTTTTCATTGTTGGTATGTTTTAATTAATATAATTGTGTGTTTGTGTGTGTAATTTTAATAATTCACANTTTTTTTTTGCCATTGATGGAATATTTTAATTAATATAACTGTGTGTTTGTGTGTGTAATTTTAATAATTCACAGTAGCACACTTAGATTGGGGGACAGTAACCTATATTATTAAAATTATTTTACAGTTGTATATAATTATAAATTATATTCTTTTTCAATCTGATTTTAGTTAAAATAATTACTGGGGCATTTTAGTTACTCTAAACATATTTCACTTTTACAGCTACATTATTGTTTAAATATACTCCTACGAACTTACTGGGAAATATAAGGACCATGTATCTTTCTTTGGGAAAATATGTTTGCTGATCCATGAAGCAATGAGGACTCAATGGCTTTTGGAAAATATCTCTCTCTTCTCTTACTACAGCACCAATCCATTATTAAGGATAAGGGATGGGCCAAGCCCAGTGCCTCACGCCTGTAGTCCCAGTGCTTTGGGAGATTGCATAGTAATCCTAGGATTACTGTGCAAGATAGGAGGATTTCTTGAGGCCAGGAGTTTGAAACCAGCCTGCTCAATGTAGCAAGACTGCCATTCTCTACAAAAGATGAAAAGATTAGTTGGGCATGGTGGTGAGCACCTGTAGTTCTAGCTACTTAGGAGGCTGGGGTGGGAGGATTGTTTGAGTTCAGGAGTTCAAGACTGTAGTGAGCTATGAGGACACCACTGCACTCCAACCTAAAGAACAGAACCAGATCCTGTCTCTTATTAATAATAATAAAAATGGATAAGGAATAGAAGACTAATACAAACACATCTTATCTCTCACTCTGATTATGTGGTTATAATTATAGCAACCACTGGCTAACTAGCCCACAGTGAAAGAAAATCTGGTGGCTTAGAACTCTCTATATTTTGTTAAAGATTTGTGATTTTTTTCATAGGAGACTTACAATAGGAGATTGCCTGTATCAACTTAATATTTTGGAAAAGTAAATGATTTTTGTTTCCCAGGAGGCCATGGGTTATCTGATTATAGGAGAATTGGGTACCTGTGACCAGTGTAATATTAAATTTCTTTTTCCGTGTCTGCAAAAGTTTATATGCATAGATAAGTATACATGCACCCATTAAGCTTAGTGAAGCAATTATTGGGCAGATAGAAGGAAAATGCCCAATTCAAATTATACAAATATAAATATGCACATGTATGTATGTATATATATTAATACACACAGACATACACTTATCTACATACATGCCCATTTATCTAGAGGAGATGACACATTGCAAAATTCTTTCATTAAGCCTTAATACAGTTAAAAATTAGTAGTATTTGTTTTTATTTCCTATTGGAAAAGCTTCAGTGGTATTATCTTAATAGAAATATTGTGAATTCATATGTTGTAATTATTTTCTAGTTAATGTAAAAGAAAGAAACGTCTTATATAAGTCTTTTTTTCTTATAGGCTGGCATGTATGAAGCAGTTAATGAGGTTTACAAAGTACTTATTCCTGTTCATGAAGCTAATCGGGATGCAAAGAAACTGTCCACAATTCATGGTAAACTTCAAGAAGCATTCAGCAAAATTGTTCATCAGGTAATGATTCCAATTTCTAGCTTCACTGTAAAGGGAAAAAACTGTCTGAAGGCATTAATGTTTTGTACTGATGTCAAACTAGATCCCATGAAATGACCATTTTAATCAGACTACAAATGAATGGTCAAAATGATAGTTCATGGCCAAAGCAAAACTCATTAACAAAAATGAATTCACCTAAAGTAAATGGTGATCATCATAAACTTTCCACATAGCTTTTTTTTTCATTTTTGAATTATTCCTAATTAGCAAGTTTTTAAAAATTGTGATTTATTTTGTTTCACAATGTAGATCATAATTGTGTCTGATTTTAAAATTGATAATCTATTTTGCTGTGAAAATAGTTTTTATATTTAAGCTTTTTAAATGATGTGAAACTTTAATAAACTACTAATATTTGTAATGACTGCAACTGAACTTTATTTTTCCTAGATGTTTGCATTCAATCATCCTTTGATATATTTTAATTCAAAAATATTTTGTGAAAATAATGAATAAAATGGTTGACTTAATGTATATTTAATTCTAATAGTATTTCATTATTTAATCTTTATAGTTGATTATGGAATCTACATATTACCACTAAAATTAGAATCAAATTAAACTTGGTTTTAAAATGAAGTACACTACTAGCAGTTGATTTCTTTGAAACTAAATCCTTGGCTTCACTGAAATACTGCAAAATATCCTGAGTCTCCTTTTCCCCCACTTTTCTGTTCCCTTCCCCATGCTACCCTGCTGTTACCGACTGCTGCCAGTGTCAAAGGAAGTGGATTATGACTATCCACCTTTGTATTCAGAATTAGTCCTACTTTGTTATCTATCAGCTTGACCTCCTCTTTCTTGAAATGAATTAAGCTGTTCTAAATGAACTGATTAACCTGAAAAGCCTTTGACAGTCTAAAAGTAGGGCTGCTATCCTGTTATGTCAGGACTTTATTGTCATCTACTAAAATGTTAAAAGTTGCAAAATATTGATTAGGTTTCATGACCATAAAATGTGGGTCTTTTAATAATCAGTTGTACATATGCTATTGCAGGAAACTCATCCCAGTTTCTAAAGCTGTAAATTGCAAATTATAAATGTTAGGTCTGGAATATTTAGAGCTACTCATTTCTGAGAAACTTTCATCGATTTGTGTCATTAGCATTTGAGCAGAGTTGCAATTTATATTTTAATTTATCCTGGATACTTAGCAAAGTGCATCTCACCTTAGTTAGAGATCTCATTTAAACATATGGAATAAGCAGCTGACTCTCTTTCTCCAAAATTTGTACTTTCACTTAAAGTTTTTAAAAGGCAAAATTTTAGCCACTGGGTTTTGAACAAGCAGTTTATAAAATTATTGCAGATCTTAAGTAAATGAATATGCTGTTTAAAATATCCTGCTGTCTTCTATTTGTGGAGAAGAATTTATGGTATATGGTACCTTTGGCCTTTTTTTGTTCTTTTTAAACAGTTTTTTATATGACCTGCCCTTTTTTACTTTTTATTATACAGAGTACTGGCTGGGAGGTAGGTAATGTTTTAGTTAGTTAAAGACACTAATAGATTGATTTTATCAGATTTCTTATGCCAATGCTTTGCCCACATGTGCTAGCTGTGGGCATTCTGTTGCTGTCTGCTATCAACTGAATTCATTAACCAAAGAAATTTTGTTAAAATACTGTAAGTTATTTTAAGAAATATCTTATTATGAGGTTGTAGGCAGTGCATGGAAATCCATATGTTACACTAATGAGATTCTTTGGTAAATGAGCCACTTTGTCATCACTTTAGTTTTTATCCTTTGAAGCATTTCTTTCATCAACGTTTATACACAGATTTCTTTTTTTAACCATATTGTTTCACCTCATTTTACAGAGGTCGATTTATGTGTTATTGCTCAGAGGTGTAAATAGAAAATACTATATTTCGTCTGATCTAAGATGGCATCAATTATAAAGCATACTAGTATTTTATATGCCTTTGAAAGGAAAAAAATCCCTGTATATTAAATCAGGATATCCTATCAGTTGAAAGATGAATGCTAACTACAAACATATTAAAATGTGGGCCAAAAAAGTACATCTTAGAATTGATGAGATCCTGTATTAATTTGATCTTAAGTCACTTCACCTTGAATATAAGCAAATTCATTTTTGTCATTTAAATTTTGTTGGGGAGAGGGATAAAGAAATTAAGAGAACTTTTAATTTAACTTGACCTCATATTCTGACAGCATTTGATATATTATTTGATAAGATTCATGAAAAGTTATATGTAAATAAAATCTTACCTGAAAAAAATGCCAGGAAGAATTGATTACCATTGTTTTAAACCTTTCTGCAAAGGAAATAATTCCATAAAATATGCCTTAATTTATTTTGATGAGGTAAAGCAAGGTAGTAATATTAATAAGTCAGGTTTATTTAAAGCTAGGTATATTTGTAAAGTCGTGTGCTTTGCCTCTCACTTGTAGTCAGATTTATGTTGATCAAACAGCTTAGGCTTCTCTGTTTGGGTTTGCATTTCAGTCCTTATTTTGAGACCCAGATAGAAAACTTGGGAATAAATGTTACTACTGAGTTTTCTTCCATTTCTAAAATAGTACCCAAGTCTTATTTTTGTTTAGATGAAGCCAGTACTCTTATAAATCTACCTTAATTCTCCAGAATAAATGTGTATGACTGTATTAATACTCAAATTATAATGCTCATTCCTATGGCTCAGTTGAGACATGCATAAAGAGATTTGCCATGGTTATCTATGAATGGTAAAATTCCTTTAAAATTTCCTAGCATAAAATAGAATTAGTTGAAAATTAGGCATAAAAGAAGATATTGAAACCTCTGAGCAGTTTATTAGTAGTTTCTGTGATGCTAAATCGACCCCTGAAAGGTATAATTTTCACTGGTTATGACATTAATATCATTCTGACATCATGTTTATTGCATGGTAAAAGTCTCACAGACTTTATTTTCTTGTTTATATACTTGTCACTACCTTTTACTGGACCTTTAGCTTTGTAGCTGCTAAATTTGTTGCACGTTTGTTTTTTGCTTTTCCTTTGTAAAACTTAAATGGATGCCTGCATTTTTAAAAAATGTGTTTTCTACCATTTGCTGCTTATTTGTTTTGAAATTTCTGTAATTAAAATGCTTTCTGTTTTCTCTTCTCTCTTGTCCCTGGTTGCTGACCCTACTCCCTACTTTTACTATTGTCTATTGTGGTAAGTTCTCTCTTGTGTATATTTTTCTTTTTGACTCTATGAAAACTTCAGTAATTTTGTTTTTTCTAAAAGCTATGTTTCCTAGCTAATTTTCTGGTATTCTAATAGAGCTCTCACTGGATTGAAGTCCAATAAGGATAATCTGTACATCGTAGAAAGGCTCTTAGAATTGATAACTTGCTCCCTAACTTATAGGAAAACCTCATCTGGGCTTATATATTAGTTATGTGTTTCATTTTTTTTATTATCCTTCTTGATTTAGCAGAGCTTTTTAGGGGTGTGTGTTTGTGTGGGTGTGTGTGGATGTGTGTGTAAAAGATAACTCTAAAATTTAGTATTTTGGTAAAGTGTTTACCATGCAAAATAATAAATCATGAACCTTTCAGGAATCATGTGGCTGTTATCTCCTCTGCTAGTTTCAGTTCTTTAATGGCTGTTTAGTGCTCACTTTTATTTTTACTTTTCCCAAAGTATTTTTGTATTTCTTGAAACAATAGGAAGTAAAAACATGTTTGTTGTCATTTAAAATTTTTGTTTATGAAATGGGATCTTACTCTGTTATTCAGGCTGGAGTGCAGCAACACCAATATAGCTCACTGCAGCCTTGACCTCCTGGGTTCAGGTGATCGTCCCATCTCAGCCTCCCGAGTAGCTAGGACTGTACGCACATGCCACCAGCTTTTTTTTTTGTATTTTTGTAGAGACAGAATTGTGCCATATTGCTCAGGTTGATCTCAAACTCCTGGGCCTAAGCAATCCACTCACCTCAGCCTCCCAAAGTGCTAGGATTACAGGAATGAGCCACCACACCCAGCCTAAAAGCATGCTTTGAACATTTCTTTTTTATGATGCATATTTAATTATTTTTAGCAGAAAGAGAAATGTTAGATTTCTATATGAAAATTTTTGTAACCATTTTCTATTTTTATGTGTATGTATTTATTTTTATAATTATGTTCGTACCAGCCTGCACAACATAGCAACACCATCTCTACGGAAAATAAGAAAAATTAGCCAGGTATGGTGGTGTGCATCTGCACCTGTACTATCAGCTACTGGCGAGGCCGAGGCAGCAGGGTTACTTGAGCCCAGGCATTCACGACTGCAGTGAGCTGTGGTGGTGCCACTGAATTCCAGCCTGGATGACAGAGTGAGACCCTGTCTTAGGGTTAAAAAAGAAAAGTTTGTTCATTTATCAAATAATGACCAATTTGTATGTAGAAGTACACTAATGCAAGTTTAAATTTTCCAGAAAAATCAATCCTCAAATAGTGATAACATAGTCATGTGACGCTTTTTTATTTTCTTCAAAGATCACAACATAGTTCTTTAAAGAACACTACTACTCGGCTAGGCCCAGTGGCTCACGCCTGTAACCCCAGCACTTTGAGAGGCTGAGGCGGGCGGATCACCTGAGGTTGGGAATTCGAGACCAACCTGACCAACATGGAGAAACCCTGTCTCTAGTAAAAATACAAAAAATTAGCCAGGCATGGTGGTGCATGCCTGTAATCCCAGCTACTCAGGAGGCTGAGGTAGGAGAATCGCTTGAACCTGGGAGGCGGAGGTTGCAGTGAGCCAAGATCGCGCCATTGCACTCCAGCCTGGACAACAAGAGCGAAACTCCGTCTCAAAATAAACAAAAACCCCCCACTACTTTAGTGAAATATATCTTACATTTTCCAGAAAGGCTAGAGAAGATCTCTACTAGATACCTAAGGAAGTATAGATTACCTTAACTTTAAGATTGACACATGCAAAATAACTATATCTTAACTCTTATTATTGCACTGAATAGACATGAAAGTGAGCCAGTATTTTGGTTTTTACATGTTCAGAAATACCAGCCATAGTTCTGGCTCAGTGGCTTCTGTTGGATTTTTATTTTCTTCAACCCACACTAAAGCTGAGTGAAATAAAGTAACTCATCCAAGCAATTAAAAGAGCAGAATTAGAAATAGTAAATTATAATGAGCAGGGGAATTAACTCTGAAAGAATGAAATGAAATAAAAATTCTAGAGCAGAGCGTAGTGAAAACAAGTACTTTTGGATAGTTGAGTGACACTCAAATGTGACACTCTAAAGAAGAAATGAGAAGCAGGTCAGGTGCATGGTCCACACCTGTAATCCCAGCACTTTGGGAGACCAAGGTAGGAGAATCGCTTGAGTCCAGGAGTTCAAGATCAGCATGGGCAACATGGCAAAACCCATGTCTCTACCAAAAACAACAACACAACAACAAAAAAATTGCCAGGGCATGTACCTGTGGTCCCAGCTACTTGGGAGGCTGAGGTGCGATTATTGCTTGAGCTGGGGAGGTAGTTTGCAGTGAGCCAAGACCACGCTACCATACTCCAGCCTGGGCGCCAGAACGAGACCCTATCTCAAAAAAAAAAAAAAGATCTCAGAACATTGTAGGTATAGAACATCCGTGAGCCTTTACCTCAGGAAGGTGAAGCTAGGTATGAATAAAGTTAAGGAAAACATAGTAAATGGGAAGAATCTTAATATCTCTAAGAGGAGATATTTTCTGGTAGTTAGTGACTCTCTGATGGCTGGTATAGACCCATAACTGAGTGCCTGATAAGATACACCATACCACTGGTTTTTTTTTCTGCCCCTTATGCTACATTTGAGAAGAAAAAGAAAGATATGAAAGCCCAGTGTGGTGGCTTATATCCATAATCCCAACATTTTTGGAGGCTGAGGCGGGAAGATATCTTGAGACCTGAAGCTTGAAACCAGCCGGGGCAACACTGCAAGATCTCTTCTCTACCCCACTGCCACAAAAAAAAAAAAAAAAAAAAAAAAAAAAAAAAAAAAAAAAAAAAAAACAAACAAAAAAAAAAAAAAAAAAAAAAAAAAAAAAGCCAGGCATGGTGGTGTGCACCTGTGGTCCTAACTACTTGGGAGACTGAGACAGGAGGATCACTTAAGCCCAGAAGTTCAAGGTTACAGTGAACTATGATCACACCACTGCACTCTGGCCTGGGTGACAGAGTAAGACCCTGTCTTTTAAAAAGAAAGAAAAATATGGACAGCAAGTATTTACTATGTAGCTGATATTAGGTGTGGTTTCTTTTTTTGGGACTGGGACATATAATGGTCAGAAATGTCCTTCTGATAAGAAATGGAGTATGATATATCTTGGAAGAATGTGTTTTGTTGATAAGCCACCAACCTGGTTTTATGCTGAAGTATAAAGGAAGGATATGCAAGCATGCAAAAATAATTGCAGTAGAGGATGCTGATATAATATAGAAGAAGACAGAACATAGGGAGGGAGGTAATCCTTAAAAGAATTACTTGAGGAAATTCGTAAGAATTCTCATGAAGACACCAGAGAAGTGGAAGATAGTTCAGGGGTTATACTAATGACCTAGTATTTATACCAGTATATGAAGAATATGGGGAACATAAATCTTAATTAAGAACTTGGAGTCGAGTGTCAAATATTTAAGTTTAACTTCCTGTTCCACCACTTACTAATAGTGTGACCTTGAGCAAGGTACCTTTCCTCATCTATACAATGAGGGTTAATAAAATGGAACCTATCACATAAAGTTGTGATAACAATTGATATAATACATGTAAAGTGGTTAACCAGTGTCTAGCACATAGTAAGTACTCAAAAAATGTTGGAAGTTATCTTTGTTGTTGTTACTATGATTTTATCATGATTACTATTACAAATCTTAACACTATTTGGTTAATAAAATCTAAGAGGTTTTACATTTCCAAATTGAGACCTATGACTAGAAGTGAACTGGTAAATGTTCTTTAAGAGGAATAAATGTAGTAAAAGAAGAGAGATGACCATTGTGAGAAATATTGCCATGCCTATATGGAAATCAGTTAACTTAAAAGAAGCGTAATGGAAAACAACTGGGAGAGGATAAAAGAAGTTAGAGAAATGATGTCACTGTGGAAATAAACAACTAGTTCGTGCTAAATAAAGACAACAAAACTAAAATAGATTTATGATATATTTTTCATAGAGATTTGAACAATTTAGAAACATGGTAGATGGATTTCTTTGTCCTGGACATAGTTTTATCACCCAGAAGATTGTGGAAGCAATAATTAGAATTGCTAAGGAAGGATAAGCTGTAGTGTGAGAAGTTTGGAAAGGATTCATAACAGTAAAGAAACGTAATGGTAGAAAAACAGGCTATCTTATAGGAAAGTTTTTGTTTGTTTGTTTTAATTCAGAGGAAAAACAGGTATCATCCTGTGGTCCAAAAACTCTGAAGAGAAAATAAAGATGAAGTGATGTTTTTCCTACAGGCGAAGCAATATGACTATGCTTCCATGAAACATACTTCCATAGTAGTTTGACACTAGAGGAGTCTAAGTTGAAAATAATCAAATTCTCAGCCTTTCTTTCTAGCCTCATCACCTGCTGCTCCCTTTCCCACTCCATTCTGCACACAAACATTTGTTTTTAAATAACTGGTTACTCCTTATAGTTACTTATCTAACCTTATCTCTTCCTGTTCTACCCGCTTGCTCACTCTGCTGTAGCCACACTGCTTACCTCCTGTTCCTCAAACACATTAGGTAAGCTTTAGCTGTTGGATCTTTGCACTGGCTCTTTCCTCTGCCTGGGATGTACATCCCTCAGAGATCCACATGAATGAGTCTCCTATCTCCTTCACTCTTTGCTCAGATGAAACCTACCCTGACCACCTTCTTTGTCCCTTTTGTTCACAGATTTATCATAAATATCTAGAACAGTTTTCTGACACATAGTTGGCACTCAATAAGTATTTGAATGGATGAATACTTTTTCTCATATTGTAGCTGCCTTCCTCACACCTTCCATTGCAGTGTTCCTTCCTTCTCTTTCCTGTCCACTTGGCCATTTATTTTGAGTAGAACCCTATGTGTTACCTCTGTTGTGACTTAGTTCCAACAAGATTAATCTTTCCTTTCTTACACCTATTTTTAGTATAGCATATATCCCTTTGCTGACACATAGTGTTTTATAACTATTTGAATACACTTTTTACTCTCTTGGGAAGCAAGTCTTACTCATTTTTACTTTTCTATTACTGAAGATGAACAGTGGCTAATGTAGTAAACACCCACTAATTTTTTTCCTTGAACCGAATGTCATTATGAGAAAGTATAATAAAAAGAGGTAGTTTAGTTTTAAGCTACCTTAATAAAATTCAATGTTCAGATTCAAGGAGACGTTGAGCCCACCCACCAACACACTTTCACTGGTCAGATCACATCAACAGTATTATGGCTATATATGGGATATCATACTTTAAAGGATGGCATTGAAAAACTAATAAAATGCCAAATAGTAGAAATTACTGTCATATGAAGATTAATTGAGAACTAGAAAGTTTAGCTAAAGGAAACAAGTTCTAATTGTTATCTTCAAATATTTAAAGGGCCACAATATTGAAGAACTGCAGTATTGTTTTAAACTGGAAACCGCTAAGAGGAGGACAGCCAGAATAGCAGCATATTAATATTTGTGGTTTTAAAGAGTAGAAATGGGCCTAGTGTGGTGGCTCATACCTGTAATTCCAGCACTTTGGGAGGCTGAGGCGGATAGATCACTTGAGCCCAGGAGTTCAAGACCAGCCTGGGCAATGTGGCAAAACCCTGGCTCTACAAAAAGTGCAAAAAATTATATGGGTGTGGTGGCATGCATCTGGAGTCCCAGGTACTCAGGAGGCTGAGGTGGAAGGATCGCTTGAGCCCAGGAGATGGAAGCTGCAGTGAGCTGTGGTCACACCACTGCATCCCAGTCTGGGTAATGGAGTGAGACCCTGTCTCAAAAAAACTAAAAAATAAAAATAAATAAAAAATAAAAAGTAGGAATGTATATGTATATATGTGTATGACATGTTTTGAAAAACAACCACAAATTTTCAAGTAATTTTCTTATATTCCTTTTATATTTTTCATGCAGTACGTTTATTACTTAAGTCAAAATTTACTATTATTATATTGTTCCATTGGCTTACTTATGGTTTTAATCAGTATTTTAGTTGAATCATTTAATCTATCTAGACAGATTAATTTGCTGTAGGAATCAGTTAATTTTTATATGTGTTAAATTTTGAAATAAAGTAACTGAAAAAAAGTTTTTAAATTATAAACCTCAGCTTTCTTTAGCTCCAAAGACATTTTTCTTTAAAACTTTACATGTTTTTGGAGAAAAATATAGAGATATTTTTAGTCCCTATACTTCTCCCTCTGTCACCCAGGCTGGAGTGCAGTGGCGCCATCTTGGCTCACTGCAACCTCTGCCTCCTGGGTTCGAGTGAGTCTCCTGCCTCAGCTTCCCGAGTAGCTGGGATTACGGGTGCGTGCCACCATGCCAGGCTAATTTTTGCATTTTTAGTAGAGATGGGATTTCACTATGTTAGCCGGTATGTTCTCCGTCTCCTGACCTCATGATCCGCCGGCCTCGGCCTCCCAAAGTGCTGGGATTACAGGCAGGAGCCACCATGCCTAGCCTTTTCGCTATACTTTTTTTTTTAGGTGTTGTTAAAACTGGTAAATTAAGGATTAGAGCTTCCCATTTTGCTTATTTATGTGTGGCATTTCTAGCTTGTTTTGTATGCCCTTTCTTTTTCAATATAGGAAAAATAAATAAAAAGCAGGTTAGAATTTTTGCTTAAAGAGAATTCAGAAGTCTTTAAATACACTTGTGATGCGTAATAGTCACCTCCAGAGAATCCTAAAATAAATAATAAAAATTAGCTGAGCAAGGTGGCACACACCTGTAATCCCAGCTACGTAGGAGGCTGAGGTGACACTTAAAAAAAAAATTATAAAAGTTGCATAGAGTGGGCGCGGTGGCTGACGCCTATAATCCTAGCGCTTTGGGAGGCCGAGGTGGGTGGGTCACCTGAGGTCAGGAGTTCAAGACCAGCCTGGCCATCATGGTGAAACCCCATCTTTAAGGAAAAAAAAAAGTTGCATAGAAAGTATCCAAATATTTATCTTTATTAAAATAATTTGTCTTCTGATATGCTTTGTGAGAGTTAAGGTGACCTTAATGTACTTTGTACTGGACATGAATGTGTAGTTAAGGCATACCAGTGGGAGGTTTGGGTGCTTTAGAATAACCAGCTCATCTCAAAAAATTTTTTACTTATTTTCTTTCATAGATTTTTTTTCCCTCTTTCTGTTCCATTTTTAGTAACTCTTCTACATAAAACTCTTTTACTGGGCTGGGTGTGGTGGCTCATGCCTATAATCCCAGCACTTTTGGAGGCTGAGGTGGATGGATCACCTGAGGCTGGGATCGTGGGATCAGCCTGGCCAACGTGGTGAAACCCCGTCTCTACTGAAAATACAAAAATTAGCCAAGCGTGGTGCCTTATGCCTGTAATCCCAGCTACTCAGGAGGCTGAGGCAGGAGAATCTCTTGAATTTAGGAGGCAGAGGTTGCAGTGAGCCGAGATTGTGCCACTGCACTCCAGCCTGAGTGAAAAGAGTGGGACTCCGTCTGAAAAACAAAAAAAATTTGCTGGCACAGAGCTGCTAACTGTAGAATTTTTGCTCTAGTGCTTCTGGAGGGTCTTGACATTTACTGATTGTCTGCTCTATGCCAGGTGCTATCCTTGACTCCTGACTTTTACAATCTCATTTAATATTTGTAAAGAGGTTATATAAAGGCTAATGCTAATTTATAAATATGTAAACATTGTTTTAAAATTTAACTTGATCTAGTATGCTCTAGTATCAGTACAATTAACATAGTATATGTTATATCAAGCATCTTTTCTTGCAATAAGAAAAATTAGTTGATTTATCTCAATTATTTAGATTTAAAAAACATAGACCAATGTGATAAAGTCACTTGGTACAAACTCTGAAAAATATTATATGTGATTTAGTCACTTGTTAGTAGCCCTATTTGCAGTTATTGGTTAGAAATAATGAAAAAAGAAAGACTATTTACTTTGTTTAAACCTTCATTTAAAATATTATAATTTTGAAAGAAAACTTTTTGCAATGTTTTGGAAATTTCATGATGTAACAATCTAAACATAATGTGAAAAGCAGAAATATTTCATATTAAAGTTTCTTCATTTTCCTAAACCTAGGATGGTAAGCGGATGTTTGGCACCTATTTTCGTGTTGGTTTTTATGGAACCAAGTTCGGGGATTTGGATGAACAAGAATTTGTTTACAAGGAGCCTGCAATAACCAAACTTGCAGAGATATCTCACAGATTGGAGGTGAATGCTGTGGTGCTTCATAAAATGTCATCTTTAATTTGTATTCTCTCTGATGATTCGACTTTCAGATCCAGATATAATCATTTAATAAGCCAGATCTTGCCAAATAAACTATTCCGTTAGAGAATAAGGATTTTTAATAGTTACAATAATTCTCTTTCAAATCTTTTATGGCAACAATAAAATAGTAATTTTTTTTGAGACTGTTTTCACACATATTTTAGAAACCCCTGTATCCTTCAGAATTACTGTGACTTATGGAAAAATATATAATGTAATCCACATTTTGTTGAAAAAGATAAAGAAGTAGTAGCTAATAATTGAGCTAGAAACAGAACCCCAAGAAATTTCTGACTCAGGCATATTATCTCTTTGGCCTAATTGGTTCCCAGTGAGGTATCTTTAGAACTTAAAAGCCTGAAATCACACCTTAAAAACACTTCCTTTAACCTTTATAACTTCTTAATTTTCACCATAAAATATTGAGTTTCTTATTTACTGGGCTAACCAGATTTTTCTGTTATAGTTATTCTTTCCAACCTTTCTCTATTTTTGTTACTCAAAGTGTGGTGCATGGACCAGAAGCATTGGCATCACCTGGGAGATTGTTTGAAATGCAGAACCTCAGACCCCACCCCAGCCCTTCTGAATCAGAGTCTGCATTTTAACAAGATCCCCAGGTGATTTGTGTTCACATAGCAGTTTGAGAAATAGTGCTCTTAGGGTTGTTTTTATTCTTACCGGTGTTAATTTCTTAAACATTAGTTTCCTATTGGTGACTTCTCTGGCCCAACTTACATAAATTGGCTCAAACTGTGACTTTTTATTTTTCGAGAGGCTAGGTGTAAGTCTTGGGAAATATTAATTGAGACTGTATCAAACTTAGTTATAAAAATTACCCTTGGGATAGCAGTGAGGGTTTCTCCTTTGCAGATTCAAATTTGATTTTTCCTTTTGAATAGCTTCATCCATTGCCCATGCTGCCACTCAAGTGTCATATGGAATAATCACTACATTCTTGACCTAAGGTTGCCTTTTCAAAATGTAAACCTATGCAAAACTTCACAGGTCAATGGTTTTATTTGAAAATTCTGGGATTAAAATAGTCGTTCATAAAAATGAATGTTTATTCATTGACCTGTGGTCTGTAAAAAATTAAGCCACTTGGCCTGAGAGATCTGAAAAAAAAAAAGAAAGAAATCAAGCCACAACCAACTCAGTAAAACTAAGATTTTATACATAAACAATAATGAGTTTCTTTTGTCTTTGCTTTCTTTTCTCTTCTGTTTCTCTTGAGGACTTCTTGAGGAATCCTGTGTTTTTTATTGGAGAAAATTGTTGTTTTCTGAGGTTTTGTGTTATTGAAAGTTTGTGGATGGGAATAGTGTCAAATAAATATGGGCTGAGACTGTACAACTTCATAAGCTAGTATAATTTTTATAAGCCTAAATCATTATTTTTAAATTATTGATAAGATTGTAGAGAACTCACTAATTCTCTTGATTTTGCTCAGGAGTCACCCTCAGAGGCCTTCTCTATTTCCCAGTCTTGTTAACTTCATATAAAAGGTTTCTTTTTCTTTATTGTAGGGATTTTATGGAGAAAGATTTGGAGAGGATGTGGTTGAAGTAATCAAAGACTCTAATCCTGTAGACAAGTGTAAATTAGATCCTAACAAGGTATGGTTGATTTGACAATAATGACATATAGGCATCTCTTTGAGATCCTCTATGCAGTTTTGTTTGAGAAAGACTAAATGATGACTTAACAGTGAGGAAATAAAGGACTTTTTTCTTTCCTAGGCATATATTCAGATTACCTATGTGGAGCCATACTTTGACACATATGAGATGAAGGACAGAATCACTTATTTCGACAAAAATTATAATCTTCGCCGCTTCATGTACTGTACACCCTTTACTTTAGATGGCCGTGCCCATGGGGAACTTCATGAACAATTCAAAAGGAAGACCATTTTGACTACATCTCATGCCTTTCCTTATATTAAAACAAGGGTCAATGTCACTCACAAAGAAGAGGTAAGTCCATAAATAGGGAAACAGAATTAGGGAAGCAAATATATTCAAGCCATGTAACAACAACTTGGATGTAGCAGAAGATATGTACCATTCCTTACACCATAACATACTAGTATTTTACCCATTTTTGAGTCCTTAATTTTTTACTTCTTTTCCTAATTCACCCCAAGTTTGTTCTTTGAAAGTTTGTTTTTTTTTTTTTTTTTTTTTTTTT